GGAGATGCCCAGGCCCTTCGACTCACTTACCATTGCCTCCCAGGGAGAAGGATAACTTGGGGAAAATATTTGCATTTGACAGAATATTCCAATTTCTTAATTTTAAAGTGCTCTTTAAAGTAAAAATGAGATGAAAAAAATGCCTAGACTTGGCAAACAATTTGGACGATTTACAGAGAAAGACAAAGGGCCATTAAGCACGGAAAAGATGTTCACCCTCATTCATAGTAAAACAAACACAAATTACAGTTTAGGGAACAACACTTTAACCTACCAAATTAAAAAATGATTAGACAATTCACTGTGCTGGAAAAGGTACGACGCGCCCTCCTGTTAGAAGGAACCGTATGAAATTACCAGTATTTGGCTTCTTGGCCTATAAGGCTGGCAATTTGGCATGGGTCCGCCATGTCATGAAGTCGGTTGGAGTGTAAGTTGGTATATTGGCTACAGAAGGCAATTTGGCAATCCTGACCAAAGGAAATCTATCTTAAACATTTATTGGACAAATTTTTACAATGTAAAACAATCATAAAGGATAGTAGTTGCATGAATATTCATGATGGGGAAATTTTGGAAAACACGTCTATGTCCAGTAGCAGAGACAACCACACCACAAGCCCTCCTCAGTGGAATCTATGAAGCTGTAGGAAGGATGAAGAGGCTCTTTCTGTACCATTAGAGAATAATATCCAATTTATCGATAGTACAAAAAGCAAAGTGAGAATGGTACCTATTGCTACCATTTCTCTGAAATAAAAACGGTGGGGCTGGGGCTGGCTCTATGAGATGGCCACACCTGAGTGCACAAGTTGAATATTTCTGGGGACAAAAAAAACCCCAAAACTCTGGTTGTCTCTGGGAAGAGGAACCAGAGACTTGGAGGGTGAGGGCGGACAGAGACATACCTTGTGTAAGAATACTCTCCTGGATCTTTTGCATTTTGCACCACGCGCATGTATTAATTTTTTTAAGCCCCTCTTCCTTCACGCCATGGACAGGCTTTAATCTAAATAATGACTGCTCTGAGTCCTGTGAGAGGCTGTTCTTGCGTGGGGTCTGCTTCTTCCCCTAGCATGTTAAAAGCTGGGTGGGCAACACATGGGAGCAATGATGACTTTATCAAATATGAGAGAAATTCACTGCCTAAGGAAATAAAATACGTTCGAACAGGCCCCACAACGTGCCCTGAAAGAGAGAGATGGTGGCAGGGGAGGACCGGTGGGAGCTTTCAGGCATTACCTCTGATCAAACTTGGCTCCAGTCCCACAAATCATTTCTGAAATGTGACTTCAGAACACAGAGAATGCCAAACTTAACATCTCAACGTCAAACCAAGGGCATTAAAAAATTTATTATGGCAAAGATACAAGAGAGATGACCACATTTTTAACAAGGGTAAAGAGACTGTAACACATCTTCTTGGACCGTGTCACTGCTACAAAAATTAGACCTGTGGAAGAAAGCATTTTCAGCATGAGACTCATTTGCTTATGGAAATGGGACCTCAGATGAGCAAACAGCAGTTAGCCAGGCCCCTGGAATTCAGATCTCTTTGACTGAAAGGCTCTGCTACACCAAGCAGAGCCCAGGTGATTCTTACTAAGCAAAACCAAAGAACATCCTCCTCTCTTGTAACTTCTTAATGAGCTGAGAGTGAATCAGCTGTGTTACGCCAAGGATTTTTTTTTTTTTTCTTTTTTTCCCAAAACCAAGAGAGTCTCTGATGGGCCTGCAGCTGCGGGCCTGGCAATGCCTTCCCAGGGGCACCCTAGCCTGCCCAGAGGGGACTTTCCCTATAGAGTCAAGATCATGAATGTTCTTCATACACCACTTCTAGGAACATAAAATGTGGCAGCCACCCTGGAAAAACAGTCTGGCAGTTCTTCTAAAAGTGAAACCTAAAGTTCTCCTACGATCCAGCCCTTCTGCTCCTACATACCCAAGAGAAATGAAAACGTATGTCCACATGAAAACTTGAATACAAGCAACAGTATTCATAAAAGCCCCAAAGTGGAAACAACCCAAATGTCTGCCAACTGACGAATGGATAACTAAAATGTGGTCTATCTATATGATCTTATTTGGCAATAAAAAGGAATGAATAAGAAGGAATGATACAGGCTACCACATGGAGGAGCCTTGCAGACATTGTGCTATGAAAAAAGCCAGGCACAGAGGACTAGATATTATCTGGTTCCATGTGTACGGAATGTCCAGAGCAGGAAAATCTACAGAGACAGAAAATAGACTCGTGGTTGCCTAGGGCTGGGCAAAGGGATAGGGAGATGAGCGGGTGATGGCTAATGAGTGTGGGGTTTCCTTTTGGGGTAAGGAAATGTTCTAAAATTGCAGAGATGATTGTAAACTCAGTGAATATACTAGAAGTCACTGAATTACATACTTTACATGGGTGAATTGTATGGTATGGGAATACCATTTTTTTAGCATCTCAATAAAGATGTTAAAAAAAAAAAAAAGACTGGGAACGGTTGTCACTCCTGAGGGGTAAAGCCTGGTTGGGTTGGGGCAGATACCCAGACATGAGATGCAGGGCACCCCTGGTGGTATCTCTGGCTAGAGGAGGATGGTTGACCACCCAGCCCTCCCTCAGGGCTCAGCTTCAGAATGTAGCTCCTTGATGAGGGATCCCTTATGTGAGGGGATGACTTTGGTACTTGCAAAATATCGTGTGTCGGCCCTACTGTACTTGAAAACAATGACTCCACCCAACCCCCACCTCATGACTCTGAAATCCAGACACTTCCACAATGCGTCCCACCACCAGGCCTGCCAGATCCTCAGCTCCACGTCTGGCTGTGTGAGCGGGACAGGCCCCATGGCAGGAGGACCAGATTGGCTGTCAGAGGACCTGGGCCCAAGTCTGGGTTGCACTTTATGCTTGTGCTCTGCTTTTGAGTATACGAAGGAAGGGCACAGCCAGAGTGACATCTGGTCCTTCCAACAACATGCGGAGGAATTGGGAATAGTATGGTTGACGGCCAGCACAGTTAAATGGGGCGGCTGAGCAAGGGCTGGATGTGTGTTTTTGAACACATTTTGAGGTTTAGGATTCTTCTCTCTAGCTTCCCTCTGTAATCGGAGACAAGTTGCACGACTCTCCATGTCTCACTTTCCTCGTCTTAAAATGAGAGCAGTTGAGGGGGGATATCTAGGTTTCCTTCAGACCCTAACAGCCTGTTATTTATGATGATCTTCTTTGAAGGTGGACTTCTTCTTTCAGTATTTTAAATACAGTTCTATCCTCTCCCGGCCCCAACCAAGTAAGATTCTGTTCCCTTGGATGAGAAGAGAATGCCCCTATGAGCGAGATCCCAACCCAGTTTCTATCCTTTTCATGCCATAGTCTCCAAACAAACCAGTTTACATTAATAACTGCACCCCAACTGGAATTAACTTAGCGATTTCCTACAAGTTCTGCCTAGGTGTTGTCCTTAGTGTGTGAGGTAAAACAGTCTCATGTTTGCCTGTTTCTCAAGTAACTGATGCCTTGCTCCTGCCAAGTTGAATTTGGTGGAAGGAAAATGATATTTGATTTTTCAAAGTAAATCAGATGGACAGATGGGGAGTTGAGATGAATAGTTGAGTAGATAATGGCTGGATGGCCAGAAGACTGGATAGATGGCTGATGGATAAATGGATAGGTGAGTGGTTAAGTGGATGGACAGAAAGGGATGGATGAATGCACGGGTAAATAGTTACACAGATGGGTAAGTGGGTGACTGGATGGATGGACGGATGGATGGATAGACAGCTTGATAGGTAAGTACAGATACTAAGATATAGGTGGAACAAGAGATACGCACTCAGTCCCATTTTCACCGCTTTGCACTGTGATTTGCGAAGCCCCCAGCTTGGGCCGGAAAAGATTTATCACATGGTTGTTCCAGAGGAACTTAACCTTCTGGATTTTTCCAACATTGAGGTCCACGTCAATGTCACGCATATGACTTGCACGTGGTTGGAGGGATCCTCTGAAAACACAGACATAGAATGTTACATCAGCTGGATATATGAATACAAAGGATGATAGCAATCGATTGTTTCCCTAAACAATGCCGTTGTAGGTTTTCTGCAAATACCTTGAACGACTTCATGTTCGTCCAGGGGCTGCTAAAACACAAATGTATTTGTGAAGCACACATCTGCAAAAAAATATAGGACTCTAGATTTCTACTGTTTTAATTTGTCCTTAGGGGAAATCAAATATTTGGGGAGGCATATTAACCCTATAATTACACTACACGACTAACTAATGCAATGTCTTATGTTTAAAGATGCATGTGGCTCAGCAGAGGTCTTCTGTTAGGATTTTATATGGGGTATGGAAAGTTGTCAAAGAGCTTTAACTTAACATGAAAAGCATGTTAACATGCTTACATAAACATGTTTACATAAACATAACACGTTTATGTAAAAGGACAAAAAACAGAATATAATTTTACAGCACAGTTACAGTTCATCCAACACACATTTACCAAGTACCTCTTCTGCCCAGCAAAAGCTAGGTGCTGAGGCTACCACCACAGCAACAAGAAGCTAGGGATGCCTGTTTTGAGGGGTAGAGAGGCCACGTGTTGGGGGAATTGCCACATACACGTGCGTCACCGAAGGAGAATTTGATATCCATAAAACCGAAGTCAGAATTGGACATTCCAAAAGAAGTTAGTGCGTATTTGATTTTAAATAGTGAATTCCCCCTCTGGGCCTCACTCTTCTCATCTGTAAAATGGGATGACTGGATCAGATGCTAAGATTTTCCTCCAGCTCTGACATTTTAGGATTCAATGGCTCTCTATAGAGTAGATGGCCAGATTTATAGATCATTTTATACCCAATCTCTTATGAATACTCTATGATGAAAAGTCTGACCATTTCACTTTACTGTCAAACTTACTTGAAAATTTCATATTGTTTTGAGTTTCCGTTACTTCCATACAAAGCAATCCTGAAGTACCCTCTCGTTTTCTTTTTTCCAGCCAGTGTGACCGATACCCTGTATCTCCAACCTGTCCAAAGACATATAATCAGTTCAATGAACTCATCTTGTTGAAAAAAAAAAAAATCATCCCGTGGAAGGATTCTTGCTCCTAGCTTGGAATCCCCAGCCTGAAATGTCAATGGTGCCAAGGTAGAGAAACCCTAATCTAGAGCTTTCTCTGAGCATTCGTACATACACTTATATAAGTTTATAAAAGAATATCCAGGCCTTTTTCCCCTTCCACAGATAGGATGCGCTATTATTCTCTATTGTCTCCACCCATCCTCACTCCAGACTGATTTACCACCCTTCTCTCTCCTACCCTGTGTTCTGGAAGGCCACCCCCACCAGGGATCTTGCCACTGGCGTTCAGTTGAGTTCAGCTGGTAAGAGATGTGTGCAGGAGATCAGAAGACAGGAGGAAAGAGGGGGACCCATCTCTCATGCTCCCCTGCTGTCTCCTGGCTCTAGTACCAGACGTCTGGCAGTAAGTCCCCCCTCTATGATAACGTGTCACTCCAGGAGCCCACAGCCACCAGATTCTGGGTGCCTCAGCGTCCCTTGTTTGTTCCTTTAACCTTGCCCACACCTCTCAAAGTAGACCTTTCCATAAAGTCTCTTCATTTGAACCACTTCAATGAGTTTTCTTTCCTGTTGGGACCCTGACTGATACATGTTGTGTTGCATTTGTTGTATTGATACGTGGTTTTTTGGTCATTTGCCTTTTCACTTACTATAGAGGATTTCTCTCTTCAGTACACAGAACTATCTCCTTGCTTTTAATGGTTAATACAGTATTTGTTGTTTACCAGTTGGTGGGCATCTAGGTTTCTCCTCACTAAACTTTTGGTATTAACAATGCTGCAGTGAACATCCTTGAGCACACCTTCTTACGCAAGCATTGTCCTGAGGTACGTCTGAGAAGTGGAATGACTGGGTTGAAGAAATAAGCACATGAGACATTATAGATACTGCCAAACTGCTATCTTCCATCATAACTATTGTAAGGATTACATGAGATACTACATGTGACAAGTGTTTTGTAAAGTGCTATACATATATATTTTTTAATTTATCACTCCCTTGGAAAATAACACTCTTCTATTTAGCCACCATGTATTATTACTTATGACAAATGAATCTTGATGATTTTACTATCTTGTACTTTTTTGGTGAGAAGCTGGGCAAAACAACAACACAAACACCGCGTGTGTGTGTGTTTGTGTGTGTGTGCGTGCGCACGCGTATGCATGCGTTGATTGTGTAGGGAGACTATATTATCTGTATGACAGATAATCATGGGCATGACCTCTTGACTTACAGTGGCTTTGCCCCACATGACCCTCTTCTTCTGTTAATGGATTCACCCTTTCCGGTACCGGGGTGCATGAAAATGTGACCAGCCTGTGCCAATCACTGTACTTCACTCCATTGATCAGGATTATTGGTTAAATAGTGACCTTCTATTACAGCTAAGCTGGCTGGAGTTGAGTTTCTGTCAGTTGCTAGCAGGGGTCCTGACTAATTAGGCTGATACACCTTCCAAATTATTTGCAAGAGTTTTTAAATGAGTAAAATGGAAACTTACGAGTAAAGTTACCACTGTCTCCTGTGTTCAGGAAAAAGGTTTGTCCCACAGCACTGGTTTTCCCCAGAAATTGGTCAGCGTAGTGCCCCATTTGGGGGCATCCTTCAGCTGGACAAGGGAAACAGCTATTCTAGTGAAAAAGACATAATTTGCTTGTTAGTGGTGGGCTTTGACTGACTCACTCAGTCACTCACGGAATCACTCACCTTCCCATCCATATTCCTGTTTATCTACCCATGCACCCATCTATCCCCCATCCGTCCGCTCATCTACCTGCCCACTGAACTGTCCATCCATCCTCCCACCCCTTCACTGACACGCATGCATTCATCTACCCATGCATCCATGCATTCATCCTCAGAATCATGCACAAAACTGTATGAAGCCCTGCTACGTACCCAAAGAAGTACCCAGAAAACTTGGAGTATAGTTGGGTAGACAAGCCATAGCCAGGAAGCAATGATTTTAAAATATGGAAGGGAAATGCAAGACATCTTCCAGGAGGAATAAATGGGACAAATAAGTTAATTCAAAAGAGCAGAGGAAGAGAAGGTCTATGACCATCTTCACTTTCATGTGAATTATATAATTGATCCCTGTGTGATACTTCCCAAATGGCAGCTCATTAGTTGGGGATGGGGGAGGTGGTTTGCTCTGTTCAGATCAGAATAACTTTTTATACTATGGTGTCACTGGTCTTCTGTTCTTTGCTCTCACCAAATCCATCTTCCATGATATGCAGAGCTATTTTGCAATTTGGAAAGCACAAGACAAGTGTTGGAGGCTGGGTATATTATTATCCATGCCCCAGCAATAACCAGCACAGCCAAGGCTACACAATGAATACTCACAGACCCTGGGGATTGAACATGATGTCCTTCTGATCTTAGTTCAACCCGAGAACGTTAAGGTCGAAATCAATTTTGAAAGGAAAACGCAGGAGTATAAATATACTTTTATTTTTACTTTTGAGAAAAAAATATTTTGAAGCTTCAAACGTTTGCAACTCCAAAGTGCTAATTGACTCAGGTAAGAAGCCCAACCCTTCACACTGGTTTGTTGTTTCGGAACAATATCACCTCAGAGATCACTTAGGGGAAATGGGACTTCTATAGTGGAGAAATCTGGCAGATTTTTTTAATCTTAAACAAGTAATCAAACTGTAAGTCATCAAATAATAAGACAAAGTGTCACTAAATGAATGCCAATGTCTCTGGTTGTGATACACTGAGGACTCGATAACACCCAGTGAATCATGAAGAAATAACCAGACAAATTCAGATTGTGGGCTCTTCTATGAAACATTTGGTCTGGAATCCTTATAACTGTCAATGTCTTGGAAGACCAGTGAAAGATGTAGAGCTGTTCTGGATTAAAGGCGCCTAGAAAGGGAGGTCCTGGGTGGCTTAGTCAGTTGAGTGTCTGACTCTTGGTTTTAGCTCAGGGCATGATCTCAGGGTCATGAGATCGAGCCCCATGTTGGACTCCATGCTGGGTGTGGAGCCTGCTTAAAATTCTCTCTCCCTCTCTCCCCTCCCTGCCTGCGCATGTGCACTCTCTCTCTCTCTCAAAAATAAAAAAGAGAGAGAGAGAGAGAGAGAGAGAGAGAAATTAAAGGAGATAAAAAAAATGCAACGCAGGAAAAAGAAGGGAAGAAAGGAAGGGAGGGAGAGAGAGAGGGTGAATGAAAGAAAGAAAAAGACAGCTCTAGAGGACATTGGATATTTGGAGAAGTTTGAATATGAACTATATATTAGAAAATATTAGTGTGTCAATGTTAACTTTCTTGAACATTGTTCTATAGGAAAATGATCTTGTTCTCAGGAGATGAATGTATTTATGAGTAAAGTCTTGAGTTTGCTTTCATATAATTGAGAAGAAAACTATACATATGCACACATTTACATGTTAACAATCGATGTGTCCTTCTTGTGGCTCCTGTGCAGATTGGGAATCTTCTAGAATAAAAAGTTGGGATCTAGGGAAGGCCCAGCGGTCAGGTCCCACCCTGCTTCTGGGAGAAGGTCTCGCTGAGGCTCAGCATGTCTGGTCCCTCCTCCCGTTCCTCATGAGTTTACAGCTCTGCTCTGTGCCAAGCGACAGGGACAAAACCCCCATTGCCCACAGGGCCACCAGCATCTTCCCCCGGCCCTGGTGTGACCTACCTCCTGAAACTCATTGTAGGAGGCACACGGGTAGCCCAGGAAGCCGTCGGGGCTGAGGATGCTGCTTGAGTAATACTTGTAGCTCCTTAGGTGATTGCAAGCCACAAAATCTCGGGTTCCTGAGGAAGCAAAGGCCACGGGAGCTCACAGGACGCATTTCACTTTTGAAGGCTGAACCACTCTGACCGATCGAGGAGTCCCCTCCAAGATGGGTGTCAGGGCACAATCTGAAATATCTGTGACTGACTTGGACATACGTAGGCGCGAGGGGGAAATCTGGGGCCGGGCATGTAATGTGAAGGAATGATGGGGGCTGGGGGCCATGCAGGGGGCAGTGAGAAATGTATATGCGGAGAGGGGAGGGGTGGGGTGGGGACAGCAACAGCCTTTAAGGGGACCCTACACGGTCCAGCCAGTCATTGCATGGTAAAGGCCCAGATTACTTGCTCTGATTTTTCACGAGTAGCTAGCATCTTGACTTTTCCATGAAAATCTTTCCATGCTCAAATGATAGCAGTACGTTCCCACTTTTAAATAGTCACTGTGAAGGTCAATCACATACTGCTGTGGGTTGCGTTCTGCCTGCAGGCTGGGCCTCAGTTTGCGAGCTGGACACGCCGGACAGGCCTTTTGAGTGAAGCAGGCTCGCCTGTGCCTTTGGCCCCAGGCTGAGAACTCTTTCTTTCCTACCATTCCAGGCACAAGGTAAAAGCAATGGCCAGTACAATTACTGTGGCCTCTGGCCACTCTGTCACTGCATTTTACTCACCATCTTTTTCTTTAACCCAAAGTCCTCGTTTGGAAAATTGTTTTCTCACTTCTCCAGCTACTGGGTACAAAACTTCCTACGAAGTGATCCCCGGCAACAACAGACATAGCTGGGGGTCCCTTCGGGGGCGGGGGTCTGGTGGCTTCATTCCCCGCCCAGGGAGAAACGCACACTGGGAAGCAGCGGTGGGATTAGCTCCCCACAGCTCTGGGCTCTACCTGCCCCCCAGCCCAGAAACTTCCTGCAGAAGCTGGTTCCGTGTGCCCCACACCAACGCTCATCTCCAGACAACAGAACTTGTTTCAAATTGAATTGTTTCTTTCGTCCGAAACTGCTGCCCTGGGATCCCCACCCTACAGGAGCACGAAGCTTTCACTGTCCTCTGCTCAGCCTGGGTAACTCAGAGCTCCACACGGTCCCCACACACCGCAGTGTTCATGGGCTTCTTCAGTCTAAACGGTCTTTTTAATTAAACCCGGGCTCCCATTTTGTGTGGCCTGCTCGGCACTTCTGGGAGGGGACAGCCCTCCCTGTGACTCTGGTGGTCTCCCAGGGAGCTGAACAGTTGCGTCTTCCCCGGAGTAACTTGGCGCTGAGCCCAGAGGAGGTTAAAGCACCACATACTGTCAGTGGATATCGCCTGTGGCTTCAGCAACCCTGCTCTTTAACATCAACATATGGAATATAAAAATGCCACCGAAGGTCACTGAGCCCTGTGTAACGGACTTGCACGGGTGCTTGCTTTGGGCTAGACCCCAGTGCGTCTGGGAGGTCCCCAACACAGTTCTTGGCTTCGGGGAACTCCCAGCTTGGACAAATAAATCCTAAAATGAAATGATCACAGACTCTCAGGGAGGGCAGTGAAGCCTGGTTTCAGGGCTGGGCGACCAAAGTAGCCGAAGGTCAGAACAAGGGCAGCGAGCCCAGATGATGCTTTAGGTCACTTCCTATTAGAGGCACTGAGCCTGCCCCCTCAGATGAACGGAAGTCCACACAAGGCTC